TTACAGAGGAATGGCCGCGTCCATGTCTGTTTGTTGATGTTCGAACGCTTGCCTTAGGTAAAGTGACATGTGTCGAACTGTCATATATTGTCATCTCTCATATTTGCCATATATTTCAGTGAAGTGTTAGAATTTGAGGTATTGTTGTATAAGTTATCTGCGATTGTCGATTCAGTTAGTTTCCACAAACTAGTGACGAAGTTCCGCTCATAGTTCTGTCGAAACAGACCACAGTGGCACTTGTCACATGACATCATGGACCCTGGGAATGTCAGGCCCAACGGTCAAGAAGACTTTTACCCCGGTGTCTCTGGAATACCCAGCTCTGGAGTAGGGTGACTATCAGCTGTCTTCTGAGTGTAGCAGGGCGTGGAGTCATCCCACAGATGAAATCCTTACCTTGTCAGTGTAGCAGGGCGTGGAGTCATCCCACAGATGACATCCTTACCTTGTCAGTGTAGCAGGGCGTGGAGTCATCCCACAGATGACATCCTTACCTTGTCAGTGTAGCAGGGCGTGGAGTCATCCCACAGATGACATCCTTACCTTGTCAGTGTAGCAGGGCGTGGAGTCATCCCACAGATGACATCCTGACCTTGTCAGTGTAGCAGGGCGGAGTCATCCCACAGATGACATCCTTACCTTGTCAGTGTAGCAGGGCGTGGAGTCATCCCACAGATGACATCCTTACCTTGTCAGTGTAGCAGGGCGTGGAGTCATCCCACAGATGACATCCTTACCTTGTCAGTGTAGCAGGGCGTGGAGTCATCCCACAGATGACATCCTTACCTTGTCAGTGTAGCAGGGCGTGGAGTCATCCCACAGATGACATCCTTACCTTGTCAGTGTAGCAGGGCGTGGAGTCATCCCACAGATGACATCCTTACCTTGTCAGCTTGCTGAGGGAGTCTTTGGTCATGTGGACAAGGCGTCTGACCTCGGATCAGGTCCGTGGTTCGAATCCCATCACAGGACTCGGAAATTTTACATTGGCGCCCAACGTGGGGCTGAGCACGTTCATATTAAATTTGAGCAAAATAAGCCTCAGTACCCTACTATGCGGCCCGGGACGCGCCTTCTGTTGACGGGGAAGTATGTAGCAGGGCGTGGAGTCACCCCACAGATGACACCCTTACCATGGTTCAAATCCCATCAATTTTACCAGTAAAAAACTGGTATTTACCGGTAAACAAGAACGCTGGTAGTCTGTTTTGTTGTGACTTCACGGAGACAAATTATTGCACAAGTAATTTGCTATTGCAATTAGTGGTGTATCTAACAGTACATCTGTGTGTCTATGTATGTACAGTATCAGCATCTGAGTACGAGACTGCCTCCATGTGAGTGGTAGAGCGTTCGCCTGGAAAGCGCAAGGCCTTGGGTTCGATCCCTGGCCGCATCATACCAAAAGACTTTAAAGCTGGTACTTGTTGATATCCTGCCTGGCGCTCGGCATTAAGGGGCTAAAACAAGGACTGGTCGTTTCGGAGTCAGTATACTGTGTCTGAGTGTGTGAAGTCATGGTAGTTGAACCTGCAAATGTGTGTCCAGAGATGCAGAGGATTATTATTTATTGACAGTGCATTGTATGACATTGGGCTATCAAGAAATATATTCTGGTAGCCTCAGATGGACCACCCAACATGTGGAACGCTGTGCAATTCAACCCTCGTGGGGGGTACAGGGGCATGCACCCTTTGAAACGTTCAAACTCTACACTGCTAATGGTGCAATGAGGAGAAAGAATTCAACCCTCGTGGGGGGTACAGGGGGGTACAGGGGCATGCACCCTTTGAAACGTTCAAACTCTACACTGCTAATGGTGCAATGAGGAGAAAGAATTCAACCCTCGTGGGGGATACAGGGGGGTACAGGGGCATGCACCTTTGAAACGTTCAAACTCTACACTGCTAATGGTGCAATGAGGAGAAAGAATTCAACCCTCGTGGGGGGTACAGGGGCAGCACCCTTTGAAACGTTCAAACTCTACACTGCTAATGGTGCAATGAGGAGAAAGAATTCAACCCTCGTGGGGGGTACAGGGGCATGCACCCTTTGAAACGTTCAAACTCTACACTGCTAATGGTGCAATGAGGAGAAAGAATTCAACCCTCGTGGGGGATACAGGGGGGTACAGGGGCAGCACCCTTTGAAACGTTCAAACTCTACACTGCTAATGGTGCAATGAGGAGAAAGAATTCAACCCTCGTGGGGGGTACAGGGGCAGCACCCTTTGAAACGTTCAAACTCTACACTGCTAATGGTGCAATGAGGAGAAAGAATTCAACCCTCGTGGGGGGTACAGGGGGGTACAGGGGCAGCACCCTTTGAAACGTTCAAACTCTACACTGCTAATGGTGCAATGAGGAGAAAGAATTCAACCCTCGTGGGGGATACAGGGGGGTACAGGGGCATGCACCTTTGAAACGTTCAAACTCTACACTGCTAATGGTGCAATGAGGAGAAAGAATTCAACCCTCGTGGGGGGTACAGGGGCATGCACCCTTTGAAACGTTCAAACTCTACACTGCTAATGGTGCAATGAGGAGAAAGAATTCAACCCTCGTGGGGGGTACAGGGGCAGCACCCTTTGAAACGTTCAAACTCTACACTGCTAATGGTGCAATGAGGAGAAAGAATTCAACCCTCGTGGGGGATACAGTGGGGTACAGGGGCATGCACCTTTGAAACGTTCAAACTCTACACTGCTAATGGTGCAATGAGGAGAAAGAATTCAACCCTCGTGGGGGGTACAGGGGCATGCACCCTTTGAAACGTTCAAACTCTACACTGCTAATGGTGCAATGAGGAGAAAGAATTCTCGACATTTTTCAAACATATTTCTTGTTGCATCTTAAGCTGGATAAATGAATAGAAGTTGTCAATTTGACAAGATGAACAGAGTCTGAGCAATGTTAAAAGCACCTTATCACGACGACATTCTAACTGATCCTTAAGTTTAGTCATCATAGACAATCAGTCTAGGTTAGTTTCTCACATTGTCGACCGATCAGAATTTTAATAGCCACGGGCTCATATGTTTACCATTCATTTCGCACACTAAAAGTGCACCATCCCACACCCTTGGACTAACATTTATCGGTCTCTGACCGGTGACCGACGGCCATCTGACACCCTGCTACTGGTGCTTGCCCCCTGTCCTTCAGCCAGTTGAAATTGAAATTGTCGGGCACTCGGTGTCAACATTCCAACACACTGGGCCCGCATCAAGCCGTTTGGAACGAGTCCACAGAAATTCATACAATTTGTAAAACATGTTGTAAATAACATCCTTTTTTGGAACAAATGGCCGTAAACACACAAGTTATGACAGTCCATCTCTATTATCAGATTATGTGGAAAGATGCCACAGAAAGAATTCAACCCTCGTGGGGGATACAGGGGGGTACAGGGGCAGCACCCTTTGAAACGTTCAAACTCTACACTGCTAATGGTGCAATGAGGAGAAAGAATTCAACCCTCGTGGGGGGTACAGGGGCAGCACCCTTTGAAACGTTCAAACTCTACACTGCTAATGGTGCAATGAGGAGAAAGAATTCAACCCTCGTGGGGGGTACAGGGGGGTACAGGGGCAGCACCCTTTGAAACGTTCAAACTCTACACTGCTAATGGTGCAATGAGGAGAAAGAATTCAACCCTCGTGGGGGATACAGGGGGGTACAGGGGCATGCACCTTTGAAACGTTCAAACTCTACACTGCTAATGGTGCAATGAGGAGAAAGAATTCAACCCTCGTGGGGGGTACAGGGGCATGCACCCTTTGAAACGTTCAAACTCTACACTGCTAATGGTGCAATGAGGAGAAAGAATTCAACCCTCGTGGGGGGTACAGGGGCAGCACCCTTTGAAACGTTCAAACTCTACACTGCTAATGGTGCAATGAGGAGAAAGAATTCAACCCTCGTGGGGGATACAGTGGGGTACAGGGGCATGCACCTTTGAAACGTTCAAACTCTACACTGCTAATGGTGCAATGAGGAGAAAGAATTCAACCCTCGTGGGGGGTACAGGGGCATGCACCCTTTGAAACGTTCAAACTCTACACTGCTAATGGTGCAATGAGGAGAAAGAATTCTCGACATTTTTCAAACATATTTCTTGTTGCATCTTAAGCTGGATAAATGAATAGAAGTTGTCAATTTGACAAGATGAACAGAGTCTGAGCAATGTTAAAAGCACCTTATCACGACGACATTCTAACTGATCCTTAAGTTTAGTCATCATAGACAATCAGTCTAGGTTAGTTTCTCACATTGTCGACCGATCAGAATTTTAATAGCCACGGGCTCATATGTTTACCATTCATTTCGCACACTAAAAGTGCACCATCCCACACCCTTGGACTAACATTTATCGGTCTCTGACCGGTGACCGACGGCCATCTGACACCCTGCTACTGGTGCTTGCCCCCTGTCCTTCAGCCAGTTGAAATTGAAATTGTCGGGCACTCGGTGTCAACATTCCAACACACTGGGCCCGCATCAAGCCGTTTGGAACGAGTCCACAGAAATTCATACAATTTGTAAAACATGTTGTAAATAACATCCTTTTTTGGAACAAATGGCCGTAAACACACAAGTTATGACAGTCCATCTCTATTATCAGATTATGTGGAAAGATGCCACAGGGCAAAGTGCCCCAAATCAGTGTATCCCAACCTCCATCACAGTACCTGCAATCTTTGGTACATGTGCACTCGGTGTGGTCAGTTGGGAACTTGACTTGCTGTAAGGTTCTTATAGATATTCACACAGGGTGGCTATTCCAGTGGATGCTAGTGTTTCACACAGGGTGGCTATTCCAGTGGATGCTAGTGTTTTTGGAAGATTCTTTTGTACAAACCTTTGGCCAGAAAAATCAAAAGCGTGAAAACAAAATCATTTAAATTAAAATTATTCCCCCAAACTATCATTCATTGTGAAACCCAGAATGTATCATCACTTCTTTATTTGACTACAGCATTCTGCCTTGTATTACAGTTAGCACTGGCATGGCCGCTGAGCGGACGGAATCCTTTGACAAGCTGCGGCCGGTCTGTGTGAAGCTCACCAAGGAACAAACGCGAGAGAGTGTGCAAGAGCTGTTCGATGGCATCAGGTCAGTTCCAGCTGACGTGCTTCAGGATCTGCAGGAGTATGTGCTCTTCCCGCTGAGATTCACCATCAAGCACCAGACACAGGACACCCTGTAAGTTGCTGGCACAGACACACCATGGGGGAGGAGGGGGGGCAACCTCGGTAATAATGCCTTTCTGACATCAAACAAGGGAGGTAATCCAGCTTGTGATGATAGACTGGTATAACAAAGGGGGTTAATATTCTGATGAGGTTGCATCTCTATGAGAAGACGAAAAGTTTCCAAATTTTACCTGTAACAAAAACTTCACACTTGGGCCTGTTGCTGCTAACACCCATGTATGTGTTGCTGCTAACACCCATGTATGTGTTGCTGCTAACACCCATGTATGTGTTGCTGCTAACACCCATGTATGTGTTGCTGCTAATACCATGTATGTGTTGCTGCTAACACCCATGTATGTGTTGCTGCTAACACCCATGTATGTGTTGCTGCTAACACCCATGTATGTGTTGCTGTTAACACCAATGTATGTGTTGCTGTTAACACCAATGTATGTGTTGCTACTAACACCCATGTATGTGTTGCTGCTAACACCCATGTATGTGTTGCTGCTAACACCCATGTATGTGTTGCTGCTACACCATGTATGTGTTGCTGCTAACACCATGTATATGTTGCTACTAACACCCATGTATGTGTTGCTGCTAACACCCATGTATGTGTTGCTGCTAACACCATGTATGTGTTGCTGCTAACACCATGTATATGTTGCTACTAACACCCATGTATGTGTTGCTGTTAACACCGATGTATGTGTTGCTGCTAACACCATGTATGTGTTGCTGCTAACACCATGTATGTGTTGCTGCTAACACAATGTATGTGTTGCTGCTAACACCCATGTATGTGTTGCTGCTAACACCCATGTATGTGTTGCTGCTAACACCATGTATATGTTGCTACTAACACCCATGTATGTGTTGCTACTAACACCCATGTATGTGTTGCTGCTAACACCCATGTATGTGTTGCTGTTAACACCCATGTATGTGTTGCTACTAACACCCATGTATGTGTTGCTGCTAACACCCATGTATGTGTTGCTACTAACACCCATGTATGTGTTGCTGCTAACACCCATGTATGTGTTGCTGCTAACACCCATGTATGTGTTGCTGCTAACACCCATGTATGTGTTGCTGCTAACACCCATGTATGTGTTGCTGCTAACACCCATGTATGTGTTGCTGCTAACACCCATGTATGTGTTGCTGCTAACACCCATGTATGTGTTGCTGCTAACACCCATGTATGTGTTGCTACTAACACCCATGTATGTGTTGCTGCTAACACCCATGTATGTGTTGCTACTAACACCCATGTATGTGTTGCTGCTAACACCCATGTATGTGTTGCTGCTAACACCCATGTATGTGTTGCTGCTAACACCCATGTATGTGTTGCTGCTAACACCCATGTATGTGTTGCTGCTAACACCCATGTATGTGTTGCTGCTAACACCGATGTATGTGTTGCTACTAGCACCCATGTATGTGTTGCTGCTAACACCCATGTAGGTGTTGCTGTTAACACCCATGTATGTGTTGCTACTAACACCCATGTATGTGTTGCTGCTAACACCCATGTATGTGTTGCTACTAACATCCATGTATGTGTTGCCACTAACACCCATGTATGTGTTGCTACTAACACCCATGTATGTGTTGCTGCTAACACCCATGTATATGTTGCTACTAACACCCATGTATGTGTTGCTGCTAACACCCATGTATGTGTTGCTACTAACACCATGTATGTGTTGCTGCTAACACCATGTATGTGTTGCTACTAACACCATGTATGTGTTGCTGCTAACACCCATGTATGTGTTGCTACTAACACCATGTATGTGTTGCTGCTAACACCATGCATGTGTTTTTGTTTCAGGAAGGAGGACGTCCTCACGGCTGTGTCTGCCTGTGTTGCTGCTAACACCCATGTATGTGTTTGTGTTTCAGGAAGGAGGACGTCCTCAAGGCTGTGTGTGCCTGTGTTGCTGCTAACACCCATGTATGTGTTTGTGTTTCAGGAAGGAGGACGTCCTCAAGGCTGTGTGTGCCTGTGTTGCTGCTAACACCCATGTATGTGTTGCTGCTAACACCCATGTATGTGTTTGTGTTTCAGGAAGGAGGACGTCCTCACGGCTGTGTGTGCCTGTGTTGCTGCTAACACCTCTATGTATGTGTTTGTGTTTCAGGAAGGAGGACGTCCTCACGGCTCTGTGTGCCTGTGTTGCTGCTAACACCTCTATGTATGTGTTTGTGTTTCAGGAAGGAGGACGTCCTCAAGGCTGTGTGTGCCTGTGTTGCTGCTAACACCTCTATGTATGTGTTGCTGCTAACACCCATGTATGTGTTGCTGCTAACACCCATGTATGTGTTGCTACTAACACCCATGTATGTGTTGCTGCTAACACCCATGTATGTGTTGCTGCTAACACCCATGTATGTGTTGCTGCTAACACCCATGTATGTGTTGCTGCTAACACCCATGTATGTGTTGCTGCTAACACCGATGTATGTGTTGCTACTAGCACCCATGTATGTGTTGCTGCTAACACCCATGTAGGTGTTGCTGTTAACACCCATGTATGTGTTGCTACTAACACCCATGTATGTGTTGCTGCTAACACCCATGTATGTGTTGCTACTAACATCCATGTATGTGTTGCCACTAACACCCATGTATGTGTTGCTACTAACACCCATGTATGTGTTGCTGCTAACACCCATGTATATGTTGCTACTAACACCCATGTATGTGTTGCTGCTAACACCCATGTATGTGTTGCTACTAACACCATGTATGTGTTGCTGCTAACACCATGTATGTGTTGCTACTAACACCATGTATGTGTTGCTGCTAACACCCATGTATGTGTTGCTACTAACACCATGTATGTGTTGCTGCTAACACCATGCATGTGTTTTTGTTTCAGGAAGGAGGACGTCCTCACGGCTGTGTCTGCCTGTGTTGCTGCTAACACCCATGTATGTGTTTGTGTTTCAGGAAGGAGGACGTCCTCAAGGCTGTGTGTGCCTGTGTTGCTGCTAACACCCATGTATGTGTTTGTGTTTCAGGAAGGAGGACGTCCTCAAGGCTGTGTGTGCCTGTGTTGCTGCTAACACCCATGTATGTGTTGCTGCTAACACCCATGTATGTGTTTGTGTTTCAGGAAGGAGGACGTCCTCACGGCTGTGTGTGCCTGTGTTGCTGCTAACACCTCTATGTATGTGTTTGTGTTTCAGGAAGGAGGACGTCCTCACGGCTCTGTGTGCCTGTGTTGCTGCTAACACCTCTATGTATGTGTTTGTGTTTCAGGAAGGAGGACGTCCTCAAGGCTGTGTGTGCCTGTGTTGCTGCTAACACCTCTATGTATGTGTTTGTGTTTCAGGAAGGAGGACGTCCTCACGGCTGTGTGTGCCTGTGTTGCTGCTAACACCCATGTATGTGTTGCTGCTAACACCCATGTATGTGTTTGTGTTTCAGGAAGGAGGACGTCCTCACGGCTGTGTGTGCCTGTGTTGCTGCTAACACCCATGTATGTGTTTGTGTTTCAGGAAGAGGACGTCCTCACGGCTGTGTGTGCCTGTGTTGCTGCTAACACCCATGTATGTGTTTGTGTTTCAGGAAGGAGGACGTCCTCATGGCCGTGTGTGCCTGTGTTGCTGCTTACACCTCTATGTATGTGTTTGTGTTTCAGGAAGGAGGACGTCCTCACGGCTGTGTGTGCCTGTGTTGCTACTAACACCCATGTATGTGTTTGTGTTTCAGGAAGGAGGACGTCCTTGCGGCTGTGTGTGCCTGTGTGGGGCACGTCCTCTCACACACAGCTGTCACTCGCTGGGAGATGTTCCAGGACATGTTCACCAGCTTCACATCGCTGCTGGTTGCCCCTGACAACGGACAGGGCAGAGGTTTGTACAATACCAAAGAAAAAATGTCTCTCAGGCAACGGCTTGTAGAAAATAGTGCTGGTATAAACAGTTGTGTACAATGAGCCTGGAAAAGGGCCTCTTTAAATGTGTCCCTTGATGAGTAAAATACTGGTGTAGCTTGTGGTCACCATGGTAACACTTCATGTAGGAAGACCAAGCTTTTGTACAATTGTAAATCACAGAACTAAACTTCATTTAAACTTCTTGCTATCCAGAGTATAAAGAGAACACAAAAATATATTTCATATTTACCAACCTGTTGTTTTAAATATCCAATGAATGATTTTTTTTTTTATCTTATCCTGCATTACATACCGTATTTTCTTGAGTATAGTGCGCACCCATGTATAATGCGCACCCCCCTCTAGCGGATTCAATATTTTGAATAAAAAAAATAATTTGAATACCAAGCGCAGAAAAACATTTACACCATACCCCTTTAGCGAAGTCCGGCAAACAAACGGGTGATGAGAAACTTGGTCAGTGCAAATTCGAAATTTGAGATAAAAAATCACCAGGCATGTTGATTTACCGTTTAAATTGTATTTTTTGTTCTGCTAGGCATTGTTTTATATCCAGGGATTAAGATTACCTTGTGTATTATCTCGGACACAGCAATCAGCTGTACACAGGATTTCTTGGAATCTACCGGTGATTCGGTCAACACACACCAAATGATATAACTTAACAGGATTTTACGTGCTCACGGTTATGTCTTTCAATGGGGGAAAAAACATCAAAACTCATTAATTTGTGTATAATGCGCACCCCCTTCTACACAGCTGTGTTTTTTTGGAACAAAGTGCGCACTATACTCAAGAAAATATGGTATTCCATATTGCTTTTACTAGCGAAGTCTGAGACTGAGGATCTAGTGGCATGTTGACAAAGTGAGACTGAGGGTCTAGTGGCGTGTTGACAAAGTGAGACTGAGGATCTAGTGGCGTGTTGACAGTGAGACTGAGGGTCTAGTGGCGTGTTGACAAAGTGAGACTGAGGATCTAGTGGTGTGTTGACAAAGTGAGACTGAGGATCTAGTGGTGTGTTGACAGTGAGACTGAGGATCTAGTGGCGTGTTGACAAAGTGAGACTGAGGGTCTAGTGGCGTGTTCACAAAGTGAGACTGAGGGTCTAGTGGCGTGTTGACAGTGAGACTGAGGGTCTAGTGGCATGTTGACAAAGTGAGACTGAGGATCTAGTGGCGTGTTGACAGTGAGACTGAGGGTCTAGTGGCGTGTTGACAAAGTGAGACTGAGGATCTAGTGGCGTGTTGACAGTGAGACTGAGGATCTAGTGGCGTGTTGACAAAGTGAGACTGAGGGTCTCGTGGCGTGTTGACAAAGTCAGACTGAGGGTCTAGTGGCATGTTGACAAAGTGAGACTGAGGATCTAGTGGCGTGTTGACAGTGAGACTGAGGATCTAGTGGCGTGTTGACAGTGAGACTGAGGATCTAGTGGCATGTTGACAAAGTGAGACTGAGGATCTAGTGGCATGTTGACAAAGTGAGACTGAGGATCTAGTGGCGTGTTGACAGTGAGACTGAGGGTCTAGTGGCGTGTTGACAGTGAGACTGAGGGTCTAGTGGCATGTTGACAAAGTGAGACTGAGGATCTAGTGGCGTGTTGACAAAGTGAGACTGAGGGTCTAGAAGCGTGTTGACAGTGAGACTGAGGATCTAGTGGCGTGTTGACAGTGAGACTGAGGGTCTAGTGGCGTGTTGACAGTGAGACTGAGGATCTAGTGGCATATTGACAAAGTGAGACTGAGGGTCTAGTGGCGTGTTCACAGTGAGACTGAGGGTCTAGTGGTGTGTTGACAAAGTGAGACTGAGGATCTAGTGGCGTGTTGACAGTGAGACTGAGGGTCTAGTGGCGTGTTGACAGTGAGACTGAGGATCTAGTGGCGTGTTTACAGTGAGACTGAGGATCTAGTGGCGTGTTGACAGTGAGACTGAGGATCTAGTGGCATGTTGACAAAGTGAGACTGAGGGTCTAGTGGCGTGTTGACAGTGAGACTGAGGATCTATTGGCGTGTTGACAAAGTGAGACTGAGGATCTAGTGGCATATTGACAAAGTGAGACTGAGGGTCTAGTGGCGTGTTCACAGTGAGACTGGGGATCTAGTGGCATGTTGACAAAGTGAGACTGAGGATCTAGTGGCGTGTTGACAGTGAGACTGAGGGTCTAGTCGCGTGTTGACAGTGAGATTGAGGATCTAGTGGCTTGTTGACAGTGAGACTGAGGGTCTAGTGGCGTGTTGATAGTGAGACTGAGGGTCTAGTGGCGTGTTGACAATGAGACTGAGGGTCTAGTGGCGTGTTGACAAAGTGAGACTGAGGATCTAGTGGCGTGTTGACAGTGAGACTGAGGGTCTAGTGGCGTGTTGATAGTGAGACTGAGGGTCTAGTGGCGTGTTGACAATGAGACTGAGGATCTAGTGGCGTGTTGACAGTGAGACTGAGGGTCTAGTGGCGTGTTGACAGTGAGACTGAGGGTCTAGTGGCATGTTGACAATGAGACTGAGGGTCTAGTGGCGTGTTCACAAAGTGAGACTAAGGATCTAGTGGCGTGTTGACAAAGTGAGACTGAGGGTCTAGTGGCGTGTTGACAGTGAGACTGAGGGTCTAGTGGCGTGTTGACAATGAGACTGAGGGTCTAGTGGCGTGTTGACAAAGTGAGACTGAGGATCTAGTGGCGTGTTGACAGTGAGACTGAGGGTCTAGTGGCGTGTTGATAGTGAGACTGAAGGGGTCTAGTGGCGTGTTGACAATGAGACTGAGGATCTAGTGGCGTGTTGACAGTGAGACTGAGGATCTAGTGGCATGTTGACAAAGTGAGACTGAGGGTCTAGTGGCGTGTTGACAAAGTGAGACTGAGGATCTAGTGGCGTGTTGACAGTGAGACTGAGGGTCTAGTGGCGTGTTGACAAAGTGAGACTGAGGATCTAGTGGTGTGTTGACAAAGTGAGACTGAGGATCTAGTGGTGTGTTGACAGTGAGACTGAGGATCTAGTGGCGTGTTGACAAAGTGAGACTGAGGGTCTAGTGGCATGTTGACAAAGTGAGACTGAGGATCTAGTGGCGTGTTGACAGTGAGACTGAGGGTCTAGTGGCGTGTTGACAAAGTGAGACTGAGGATCTAGTGGCGTGTTGACAGTGAGACTGAGGATCTAGTGGCGTGTTGACAAAGTGAGACTGAGGGTCTCGTGGCGTGTTGACAAAGTCAGACTGAGGGTCTAGTGGCATGTTGACAAAGTGAGACTGAGGATCTAGTGGCGTGTTGACAGTGAGACTGAGGATCTAGTGGCGTGTTGACAGTGAGACTGAGGATCTAGTGGCATGTTGACAAAGTGAGACTGAGGATCTAGTGGCATGTTGACAAAGTGAGACTGAGGATCTAGTGGCGTGTTGACAGTGAGACTGAGGGTCTAGTGGCGTGTTGACAGTGAGACTGAGGGTCTAGTGGCATGTTGACAAAGTGAGACTGAGGATCTAGTGGCGTGTTGACAAAGTGAGACTGAGGGTCTAGAAGCGTGTTGACAGTGAGACTGAGGATCTAGTGGCGTGTTGACAGTGAGACTGAGGGTCTAGTGGCGTGTTGACAGTGAGACTGAGGATCTAGTGGCATATTGACAAAGTGAGACTGAGGGTCTAGTGGCGTGTTCACAGTGAGACTGAGGGTCTAGTGGTGTGTTGACAAAGTGAGACTGAGGATCTAGTCGCGTGTTGACAGTGAGACTGAGGGTCTAGTGGCGTGTTGACAGTGAGACTGAGGATCTAGTGGCGTGTTTACAGTGAGACTGAGGATCTAGTGGCGTGTTGACAGTGAGACTGAGGATCTAGTGGCATGTTGACAAAGTGAGACTGAGGGTCTAGTGGCGTGTTGACAGTGAGACTGAGGATCTATTGGCGTGTTGACAAAGTGAGACTGAGGATCTAGTGGCATATTGACAAAGTGAGACTGAGGGTCTAGTGGCGTGTTCACAGTGAGACTGGGGATCTAGTGGCATGTTGACAAAGTGAGACTGAGGATCTAGTGGCGTGTTGACAGTGAGACTGAGGGTCTAGTGGCGTGTTGACAGTGAGATTGAGGATCTAGTGGCTTGTTGACAGTGAGACTGAGGGTCTAGTGGCGTGTTGATAGTGAGACTGAGGGTCTAGTGGCGTGTTGACAATGAGACTGAGGGTCTAGTGGCGTGTTGACAAAGTGAGACTGAGGATCTAGTGGCGTGTTGACAGTGAGACTGAGGGTCTAGTGGCGTGTTGATAGTGAGACTGAGGGTCTAGTGGCGTGTTGACAATGAGACTGAGGATCTAGTGGCGTGTTGACAGTGAGACTGAGGGTCTAGTGGCGTGTTGACAGTGAGACTGAGGGTCTAGTGGCATGTTGACAATGAGACTGAGGGTCTAGTGGCGTGTTCACAAAGTGAGACTAAGGATCTAGTGGCGTGTTGACAAAGTGAGACTGAGGGTCTAGTGGCGTGTTGACAGTGAGACTGAGGGTCTAGTGGCGTGTTGACAATGAGACTGAGGGTCTAGTGGCGTGTTGACAAAGTGAGACTGAGGATCTAGTGGCGTGTTGACAGTGAGACTGAGGGTCTAGTGGCGTGTTGATAGTGAGACTGAAGGGGTCTAGTGGCGTGTTGACAATGAGACTGAGGATCTAGTGGCGTGTTGACAGTGAGACTGAGGATCTAGTGGCATGTTGACAAAGTGAGACTGAGGGTCTAGTGGCGTGTTGACAAAGTGAGACTGAGGATCTAGTGGCGTGTTGACAGTGAGACTGAGGGTCTAGTGGCGTGTTGACAAAGTGAGACTGAGGATCTAGTGGTGTGTTGACAAAGTGAGACTGAGGATCTAGTGGTGTGTTGACAGTGAGACTGAGGATCTAGTGGCGTGTTGACAAAGTGAGACTGAGGGTCTAGTGGCGTGTTCACAAAGTGAGACTGAGGGTCTAGTGGCGTGTTGACAGTGAGACTG